TAGTGCTCATGAATATGGCAGCGAGCATATGCATAGTAATTTCATTGTGGTCTCGTACTTTTCTGTTTAGCTTAGTATAATCACTGAACATGTAAGCTTGCTTGTAGAGTTTGTTCCTTCTGCTTTAATTTACAAACATAAGCGATCAAGGAACTTATGTCGCCTTAAGTGTTTGCAGCAATACGACCATGTTTGCTATAACTGTGTGGTATGCATGTAGTCTGCAATGGTTGACAATTGGCAACATCATGTTTTTGTCAATCATAGATTATATGTTAACACAACGTCCATAGAAGTAAAAATTGAAACACATTTACGTTGCTCTTGTTTCCGGATAAGTTGGTTTGTCCATTAGCTCCTTGTTCCCTATATTTTAGCAGAATTTAGCTACTGATTGGGAACAAATGAACAAAGAAAATGAAACTTTGAGGCTTCATATTTGTTTTTTGAGTAAGTTTGGACATCAATGTACCAATTATATGATTTTGCTAATCTTCTAGTCTTACCAAATACGACCATCCAATGTCCCTGTGCAATCGTTTCTGTAAAAATGCTTTGGTAGTAGTTAGAGAATCACACCTGCATAGTTGTCAGTCTTAATTAGGATACCTACTCACCCAATTCATCTTGTTCACAACTTGACATATTTGGTTTTGCATGCACTGCACAGGAGATTACTACAATGAAGAGCTGAAGACCAAGTCTGAGCTTATTGCCAAGCACAAGAAGTTGATTGAAGGGTGGCGGAAAGAACTGAAGGAGCAGCTGGGCAAGCACATCAGCGAGCTTGAATGGGTGTGAGTAGTGTGATTCTTGAGTTTACCTTGTAATGACCATGAACTCTAGGTGACCAAATGTTGCGTTATGCCTTATAAAACTGTGTACATGTTTTTAGGATCTGACACGCATGGTTAGGAATCGCCTTTTGTTGGTTTAAGGTCGGAAGCCACGAACAAAGCTTACTTTATTGATGTTTGATTGTGTATTTTTCCTTGCCCCCTAGTCTCTGCCGTTGTGTAAAATCAGTCTCTGCCGTTGCACATCGACATTGAATGCTAACGGATTCGTGTGCCTACTTTGTATGATTGCCAAGCCACGAACAAAGCTTACTTTATTGATGTTTGATTGTGTATTTTTCCTTGCCCCCTAGTCTCTGCCGTTGTGTAAAATCAGTCTCTGCCGTTGCACATCGACATTGAATGCTAACGGATTCCTGTGCCTACTTTGTATGATTGCCATGTTCGCAAATTCCTTTCAATCTTTATTCCATTTGTGCCTTGATCAGGTCGAACAGAACCTTCTCCAAACAATACCCAATTTTAGTGGAGCTGTTGCCACGTGTGAATACAAGAGCAAGTGAAAAAAATAACAGTGTGCATTTCATCTCCGTTCCTGAAGTGCACATACCTGAAACTAAGCGGGTACAATTAACAGGTTGTTCAGGATGCTGTCTACCTTTTTTTCGAGCAGCAGGATGTTGTCTACCTAACAGGTTGTTCATGAAGGAAATCTAATAGGTTGTTCATGAATATCATTCCTATACACAATTGTATTGCTAGTTGATACAAAACTCAAGTTCACATTTGTTCACACGTACACACTAGCAGTGCAACTGTGCAAGCATTTAAAACCAAAAAATTAGATTCATACTGGCACGCCAATTAGTAGCAACTTCGTTCACGCTAGTAGAATGCAATAACAGTCTTGCACTTAACTAGATCATATTACAAGCACAATGGAAATTAAGTTCAGCTCACAACATTTCCAGAACTACAAGCACGACGGAAAACCATAGCTTTTGCCTTCTGGATTACCAAAGCTTGTATCATCTGAAGGATCAAACAGGCGACCAGAGGTGGGTGGGGGGTGAATGGTCGCGGAAGCCAAAATTTATAACCCTTCCCCTAAACACAAAACCTGACTAAATCACGTTTTTTAAATCTGGACAGAACTCTATGTACCTAGTAAATCTGATGTGGACGAAAATCCGTAACTCCGATCGACCTAAAAATTTGTCAGATTAAACTAGATGAAATTACGAAACTAACCAAACTGGAATCACGTCAATCTGACTTACGGATCTTGAGATAAAAATAAAACAAGCAGACTATGTCAGATGCTAACGAGAATTGTAAAGAACAAATCGAGATGCACAAGATCAATCATTATAGATGAAAGATTAAATTGAGTAATTGAACTTACAAAAGTGCATCTAGCCTCCGCCCGAACATCCTCCCTTTCTTAATCGGAGAGATCAACAAAAACCTTTCACTAGAATTCAAACCCTAGGCTAGACCGGAGAGAGAAAAACTGAACCGTGGAAACCCGGGGCACGACTACTGTTCACGGGTACTGTTCACGCGTGAATAGTAACTCGCCGGGAGTCCAAAACGTCCCTCCCTTCTCAACCCTAGGTGCCACATATTTATATCTCCAAAGGGTGGCACGACCTATTTTCACATAACCGCCTACGCTAAATAAATCCAACGTAGGGGCGTAAATTCCAATTACGTCCTCCATGGCAAATTCCGCGATGTCCGCGATCCCTCCATCTCCGCGATGTGATCCTCGCGATGTCGCCGCACGACCATCCGAAATCGTATCGCGATCGCCAGAATTTCCATCTTCGGCCAACGCACGCCGCACGAGCGTCCCGGTACGATGCATGGCTTTGTGGCTCAACCAGCGAACCCCGGATTTTGTGGCGTAATCTGGAAACCTCCCTCGACGTCCTCCCACCGTGTAGCCAGGTACAGTAGACGTACACCACACGATCGCCTGTCCCTCGAACGCAAGCCTTGATCCGCCCTTCTCCGCCCCCACGGTTCTTCGGCACGGCATCCTATCCTCGTTCTTCACTCGTCGCCGCATGTACCTTGTCTACACCTGTCACCTACAACCACAACCTGTCGAGAGATACGTCACACGCACACCGTGTTGTCAATCGCTCATCACCAAGGTGCTAGCACACCGGCATCTCATCATCAACAGAAACATCTTGGAACATTTCATAGAGAGAGCAAGCAACATTCTCAATACAAGCCAGAAGCCCATACAAATTGCTTGCAACATCTTCCTGGAACATTTCATACAGAGAGCAGGCAACATTGTCAATACAAGCCAGAAGCCCATACAACATTCACCGGCGCTGCTCACAGGACCCAGATGCTATACTGACGCATCCACAGCGCCAGATCGAGCCTTACATCCAAGAGAGGCTGGACTGGGAATCTTTATTATAAACACAGGAATGCATCCAGCTCAAAGCATCTACATCAAAGCAGCCATTGCACACTCTGCCTCCGTGCTCATGGCAGAGGCAGCAGCCCTGGTGCTAGCAGCTGTGCTCACTGAGCGGCTGCACATACAAAATACAAGCTTCCTATCAGACAACCAAGAGCTTGTCAACTTCCTCAATTCCTCAGATCAGTCAACACCTCCGGACTGGAGAATCAAGAATCTCACCCACAAATTCAACAACTCAACAAGGCAAAGGAACACAAGGGTCTTCAAGATAAGGAGGAACTCAAATCTCACTGCCCATACATTAGCAAAACAGGCTTTTCTGGACATGCAATCTCATCCTCCCACTCTATCAGTATCTTGTTCCAACAGAAATCACGTACTCCAGTGCCCCTTGATGGAAGCACTGCAAACTGAGCTTCTTGCCTCTGTAACTATTCTAACAGCTAGATGCTATTGAAATAAATGCATGTTTGTTGTAAAAAAAATTCTTGCAAGAGGTATCAGAAGTGGTTATTCAGAATTCTTTCTAGTATTCTGAATAACAAGAGTACAATAGAAACATTTCCTAACAAGAGTAAGCCCATACTGAATAGATCATAACATCTCAATACCAAGTAATGCAGGTCAAGAACAAAACATTATACTGAGCAGATACTGAACAGAACATAATACTGAATAGATATATTCCTGGGAACAATATCTCAATACCATAGCTTGTATCTCAATGCCAGAATTCTTTCCTCTATATTCAGAAGTGTTGAGATGTCTGTTTTCTAAAATAAAAAAATCAGAGATGAGAGAGAGCAGTTCCAATGCATTAACAGCAGCATTCTGTTTTCTAACAAAACAAAAAAAGATAAGAAATGAGAGAGAGAGATTGCTCCAATGCATTAACAACAGCATTCGGTTTTCAAAAAAAAAAAGGTCTGATCATGATCATTCAGACGATCAACTACTAGGTACCACCAGCAGAAATGAGCCAATAGCAGCAGCTAGCTCATAGTTACAAGGACACATTCAACTTTCATTGAACAACAGACATTTTAAGATAGTGGATAGCTGCAGTTTAGGTAACTAAAAATGTTGGCATGCAGCATCCCAAGCAGGAGGATGGCCAGGAGCATTGGCACAATAGTATATATGTTATACAGATGAAAGGGTAATGCACTGTTCTACTGTCCTTTGTATATAATAATGTTGTCTTTATTACCTGTCTTGCATGCAGAATTGAAGAATTGTATATAATAATGTTATACAGGCAATTGGCAACGGCTAAATGACACATGGCATCAATTTTTAAAAACAGGTAACAAGCAACAGCTACCTCATGTCAGTCATATGCTAGTCAGCTAGTCCAAAATTCTGAAAACAGATAACAGGCAAGCAGCTAGGAATTTTGTCCCCAACACAGTTTCATAGTTCTATACAAGATAAGACAAGTATATGCTAGTTCAAAATCCTGCTCAGATCACACTACCAACAGCAGCAACAATGCTTCCCAAATTATAAAGAAAAATCCTGGTGGATTTGATCTTGTTCTTGGAGCTGATATTTATATCATTGAAGTTTTCCTACTTACTTGTTAGAGTTTAAGGCTCTGGACTTCTGCCCTCTCTCTTCTATTCATTGGCTATATTGCAATCCTTAAATCTTCTGCCCCAGAGTTACAGTTTAACTGAACTATCAAACATTGGAAAAATTGAAGCAACTATTTATTACCATGGTTGAACACAAAGCTGATGGACGACGTAGGCCTAGCATCGCATGCCTTCGATTGGGGATGAATCGCCCAAGCAAAATCCAGGCATGGAGGAGGAGGAAGCTGCAGGCACCGCGTTGTTGCCGAGACTGGTGAGGTTGGGTGTTGCCGCCGTGCCCATGCCGCGACCAACACTGAGGGTCACCGCCACCTCCACCTTCCGCCTAGCACCCACACCCACACCGGTGCGAGCGGGCTTGGACGGCGACGGCCTCCTCCTCCTCGGTGGCCTGCGCGCGCTCGACGCCCGCGACGGCCGCGACATGCCCGCAGACTGCGAGCTCGCCGTCTGGGACCCCGCCACGAGCCGCCGCACGGACCTGCAAGGCCGCGGTGCTCCGCGCCTCTGCCGCCGCCGTCTCAGATGCCTCACCATCTCAGATTGTCCGCGACGCCTATTGACCTCTCGTTAAGATCGCCGCGTAGCATGCACTTCCTTCTTCTGGAAGAGGCCGACTATTCCCGTTATCTTGCATCGGAGGCCAATTCGTAAACCATCCAATAAATGCTATCTGCTACCTGCGGACCGTCGCCACCGTCGCAAGCGAACAGGCTTAGGCCTTGTTTAGATGATTTTTTTTTTAGCAAAATGTTATTGTAGCGGTTTTCGTTCTTATTTGGCAATTAGTGTCCAATCATAATCTAATTAGACTTAAAAGATTCGTCTCGTAGATTTCGTCTAAACTGTGTAATTAGTTTTATTTTTTATTTATATTTAATGCTTCATGCATGCGTCTAAAGATTCGATGTGACGGAGAATCTTGAAAAATTTGGCAAAATTTTAGGGAACTAAACTGGCCCTTATGTTTTTCAGCCGCGCCAAACCTCGTTAACTATGTCAGACAACAACACATAAAATACAAGACCTATTCAATATCTAAGTAACGCTACAGATAAAAGATTTAATACCCATTAGACATTATCTCTAACAACAGAACCTAAAAAAGAATCTTTTTGCAAATGGGTTTTTCAGGAGGAAGGATACTTATATTTAGGTTATGCCTTTCAGACAACCTAAAATAAGTCTTCCGTATAGATACTCTGTTGAAGACTAATTTTAGATCTAGGTTTAGGTGCCACCTCGTGGGGACAGTCTAACTGCATGCTCCCACTTTTCTGTTATTTGATCCTAGCCATTGGATCAGGGGGATACATCAGCCCCGAGGCATTAGATCCGGTGCCTATATATAGCTTTTCTGTGCTCGATCAGCTCAGATCGATCAGTCTACATACAGCCACCAAAGCTAGCTAGCTATCGCTTATACATACACAGAGCGATCGTCGATCGTCATGGCTTCTTCTGTTGGCGCCGCCGCCACCGCCGCCGGCGCTGCTCGGAAGGTGGCTGGCGCCGCCGTCTTGTGCGTGCTGCTCGTCCTCGGCATTTCAGGCCGCCCGGCCGCGGCAGGGCTGTCTCTGCCTGCTGTGCCTCCTGGCCCGATCGGGGCGGATGCATACAAATTTGTGCCGAGATAGCCAAGACATGTTCGTCGTTCTGCCAAGGACTTGCGACGTCGGACCTGCCCAGCAGCAAGAAATGCGAATCGTTGTGCGGGCTCCAAGCTGGCAGTCAAGGCGCTACTGCACCAGTTGACCAAGCAGCGTGTACCCTTTGCAACAGGAGAGCGTGCGTCCCTGACTGCATTGGAGAGAAGTGCACCTGCGACGGCAGCAACCACGCAAGTACTGCGCCTTGAGTCCTTGATCGATCGATCGTGAGGTGCAGCTACTTAACGATGACATATATATGATGGGTTAATTGGATGCATCTGTGCGGTGTGTTTCCTTTAGTTCCTTTCTTTTTTTTTTCCTCCGAGCAAATAAACTACTGCTTATGTATTGCAGGTTGCATGTGCTGCTATTTATGTATGTATTTGTATGTATCTACCGATGTATACGGTGGAGTTACTGTATTATATTTCATATTTATTTGTTTTTATTATGCAGTAAAAATAAGTGACAGACGTCGACCAGGACGATCATGTGTTGCTCAAGATATATATGCATGTCGTACGTGTATGTAGCTAGGTGAAAGCCGTGTGCATAGCGCATATGTTGTGCTTGTGCCCGTGGCTGCACGGTTGTCTGTATATGTTTGTTTCTGGGCGTGCTTTTAATTTCCACGAATATGCATGGGAAAACACAATTATTACTTTTGTAACACTTCATTCATCTATATATTAATTATATGGATTTCTTGACTGTGCCCAATGCAAGATCGACCACATACGCTGCAAATGTAATTTGGCGCATTGCAGATGATAGTTTACTAAATTAGTGCTATATATGGTCTAGTTATTAAGGGCCTATTTGAGACAACTCTAATGAGAAATCAGATCTAGAACATCAGATTCACCTTGGAGCAACACCACCATGGATCTGAGATTAAAAAATAGTTTGGGACGGCTCCACGGTATATCTGCTGGGCCAGCCCACAACCAACCAATTATGGCCCAACAGTAGCCCAACAGTGGGAGGTCCTTCTTACCCTTTGTCTCACTGATGCTTTGGGCCCGCATGTCAAGCTCTTCATCCTCTTCCAAGGAGAGCATCAGGAGCACACGTGGCCGGGCGGCGGCGTGACTGGCCGGGAGGCCACGCGGTCGGGCGGTGCATGGGGGACCTGGCCAGGCATGGCCACGGGCGGTGTTGAGGTTGGCGCTGGGGTCGGTCCTAGCCAGGTGTGGCGGCGAGCGGCGCTGGCCCCCATCCTAGCCAGGGCGCGGTGGCGGGAGATGCTCGGAACCCCTGTCTGGTAAGGAGTCCATTGTTGCCCCGGACACGTCCGGTGGGCGCTGCAGCTCACGCGCGGTGCACACAGTGGCGTCCGGTGCTCCTCCACAGCACACCGGACATGTCCAGTGAGCAGACCGGACAAGTCCGATGCTGCTGCATAGCACAGATTTGTTCCAATTCTTCGTGTGTCTTCATCCGAGCTTCTTCCATCTTGTGTCTTTGACTTTTGCTTGTATTTATGGGTCTTCAAAATGTCCTCTAATGTCTTGTTTAAGGTGTTGATCATCTTGATCGCACCGTTGCCTAAGTCCACTCATGCATCCTTCGAACTATATCTAAAAATACCAGTAAACAATGTTAGTCTAAATAGTCATATTGATCATCGAATACCAAAAATCCAAACTAAATAGCCGATGAAGTCCATTTTCCTTACATCACTCGTACTGTCATTCTCCACAGCATCCTGACTGTCCCCATGACTAGATCCCTTTCTATTTTCCCAAGTCTATCAAACTTATCAGCTTTCTTTTTACCCATTATTGGGTCTATATCCCACTAGTCTTTCCTTCCTGGCATGTCCTCTCCCTCCCGCCTGGCCCAAGAGGACCTCCCTTGGTCTCCTGAGATTTTGCAGAACCCCCTTAAGCAATAAATTTAACATCATGTCCCATCTTATTAAACAAAATCTCTATGACACATCTTATTGTCGAAGGGTCCCAGCAATTCACTTTCACCCTTACTGGCTCATCCCTCACTAGACTTAATTCATCCACCACCATAATAGGTTGCCTAACTACCGATGCTAACTCCCTATCCGCTGCTTCTTGCCTAGCAGTTCTTGGAATATTGCTAATTCTCACCCAGCAGGTTTGTAACATAGAAGAAGTAGCTGGGTCTGCAGTGGATTTGGATATCCTCACTTTCAGCTTGTATATGGAAAGCTCAAAGCTAGTGAACCTGAAATTTTTTTCTAGTGTACCTTTGTAAACTTTCTAGTGTACCTTTGTCTGGAAATATCACAAGGAATTCATTGCTTGCAATTTTTGTGGCCAAAATTCCATTTGTCATTAACAACCAGCCTTAATTCCTTGTTAAGCTTATCCTCAGTAGCTTCTCCTTCTTGGATAGTAACTAGGCCACCTGATTTTCTGGAATTTCTATAGCATAGAAACCTTGATTTGGAATTCCAAACACAAAGAACCGAAATTTTGTGCTTGTCAGCCTGCCACACTCTGCCACCATGTGCCCTTAATTTGAGTTTACACTTATAGCAAACTGGCTCACTGGAACATTCTGATTGGTGATGACCAATACCAAGACATCTAAAACGTTTGATCTCTGACAACTTTCCTTCTATCTGCAACTGTGCTTTATCCTTCATAGCCTCTTTAGAACGCTACCCCCCCCAGCTCCTGGTCTTCTCTGCTCCAAATTTCCCCTATACACTTGGGCGCCCTTGCTAGCGTCTCCTGCAATAACTTTTGTTCCCTTTGTCCAGATCTCTACCCCCATAGCCTCCTCTATCAAAACCTCTCCCCCCTTGGAATCCAACATCCGCACCTCTAAAGCCACGACCTCCCCTATCATACTCACGATTCCCATAACGCCCTCTATCATAACTAGAACCCCCTAAGTATTCGCGATCCTTACCTTCCTCATCAAGCCCTCGCTGGAGTTTATGGCGCAGATCCTGCTCATGGCATACATCTCCCCCCAGGCAAGTCGTCTTCCTCCATCCGGTCATCGGGATGGCGCTTCCAGGTTCGCTAATCCGGCTCCCTCCTCACCATCTCGTTAGCCTTCACCGCCTCCGCAAAGGATTTAGAAAGTGGAGGTGGAGGACCTATCCTCCTGACTCTGCGGGCATTGTGGCCATACCGCTGAATCTCAGCTCGCGAAGGAGGGTAACCTATTCCCGGCACTTGACTTGGATATCCAGACTCGTCTTGGCCCAGTGTTTCCAAGAGTGGGCATATAAATTTGCGTGGGAAAAATCCAAATCCAGCCCGGTCCAATTCTCGCCACTGCATCGTCTTCAACCTGACGCACCCTGTCAGGTTTCTTCACCATGTCGCTGTCCCCTGGATTTGACTCATCTTCCCCAACGTCTCTCCAACCTCTTACTAGAAGCATCCAATTCACCGAGCTCCTTGCTCAACTCTTTATCCTGTATACTGAACAAATGCTGTTTAATTTCAATTGCTCATCTCACACGTGGTTGTCTAGAAATGTCAAAACGACCTATAAATTAGGATGACGTAATATATACTCCATCCGTCCTAAAATAAGTGTCTCTATGATATTCGTGCCAGTCAAATTTTCTCAAATTTAACTAGATTTGTAGAAATATTAGCAACATTGGTATCTCCAAATAAGTTTATTATGAAAATAGATTTAAAGATTTATATAATGATACTAATTATGTACTATAAATATTAATACTTTCTTATAATTATTTGGTTAAAATTTAAAACAATTAACTCCTTAAAAACGAGATCGACACTTATTTTTGGGATGAAGGGAGCACCG